GGGAGCGTGTTGCGCGCAGAAATTATAGCGAAGAATGTGCATAACTTTAATTAATTTCATGACATCGTTTTGTGTTTTCATTTCATTTTATTTGTTCATTTGTTATCTTTTCTGCCGCTTGCTTGTTTTTGTTTTTGAAGTTGTTGCTATTTTTTGCCATCGCGCGAACCAGACTGTACAACAACACATCGGCATGCCATCATATACTCATGCATTGCACAGAAGAAGTGAAATAAAAAAGATGTTTTGAGCGAACAAATCTAAAAATTTCTAAATAGATCAAATCCACAAGTACGGCCAAAGGGCCGCGGCCAACAAATATGGCAGCCTCATTAAATTTTCAAAGTATTCCAGTTATTTTTCCGAAATGCAACAAAGTGCTCTCATGATTACATAGCGGCCTGTCATCGTTTCGAGAGACTAAAGCAAGAGATTGAGTGAGAGAGATAGTGAATTCGTAACTATCATTATTATTGGTTTAAGAGCATTACTCAAGAGCTAATCCAATCAAGTTCACACAACGAGTTGAGGAGAAGGGGGGCTATGGGAGCTATGGTTGTTTTGCTTCTTTTTCCACTCAACAAAATAAATGCTCAAAACTCGATTCATGGCTTCACAATGGCACTAGTATTTTTGCTACAGGTCGTCAACAATTACGTGTTTATGGTGGCTTATCGTTCAGTAGAAATGTTCTCAATAGCCCGTTGTTGCTGTTGCTGTTGATGCCGGAATTTCTTATGTACACAATGCCCACAATGCAAATGGTGATGCTTTTATGGTCTTCGAAAGTGTTCCGAGCGTCGGAAAATGGTGTCGACAATCTCGGCACACAATGGCCCGAAACGAAATGTGGAATATTCTCGCATCTTGGATTTGGTCGTTGTTTTTCCTTCGTTCCTTTGATTTTTTGGCTTCGAAAGGCGTAAAATGTTAGACATAGCTCACGCGGGCGATACATTACTAAAAATACGCAGATAATTTACGAAATTTAATTCGCATCCAATATTCCTGTTGTCTTTGTGTCTCACATATATGAAAAATACACTTATTTCGAAGATCGTTTGCATTTACACCGTGTGCGTGTGCGTGTGTGTGTGTGCTTCGTTCTTTTTCTGTTTTATTCTGTCTCGCTAGCTTATTTTTTTTAACTGTTTCGTTGGCTGCTGCGTTTTTTTTTCTACTTCGTGTTGTTGCGTTTTGTTCACTTTTTTCGCTCCTCTCGATTTGTCGTCTTCTTCAGCGACATTTTCAATTTAAAACGTTGAAAATCAACAAAAATGCTATTTAAAATGTCTAAAACTTATTTATGGCTCATGTACGATCTATCTGTCGTCTTATAGCCTGTGCCCAAGTATTATTGTATGCATCGACTAAATTTAACAAATTTCTTTTTCTCTCTAACCCATTCTCTCGCAAAACTCTGCCTTTGCAGCTTTTTTTACTTTCATTGCGTTCAGCTTCGCTTATACTACTACTTTTTTCGTTGTTGTTTGCGTTGTTGTTATTGTTTTTGTCCGCTCTTTTTTCCCTTGCTGCGTTGTGCACCAAAATTAGCTTCAGACACATGAGAAATTTAAATCAACAATATGATGTACATGCGAATTGTGTGCAATGTTAAATATTGTTTGTAGTTAGCGCTATACTTGAGCCGAATTGGTCGGCTCTCTCGCACATTCATTGAACTCTTGCAAAATAAATCCAACTACATGCGTCATCTAAATCTCACATGCATCGACCTTTTTTCTATCTCAGGCTCCATCTCGCTCTCGCTCTCTCTTTTGTTCTCGCTTGTTATTTAAAAAACAAAAAAGCTAAAGTAGTGCAAGTGTTCTGATTCCATTTTTAAATCAATTATATTTTGTGCTTCCGCACATGACACACAGAACTATAGCAAAAATGTTATTATGATGATGTTAGCAAATGATAATCGTCATTTCATGTGAAATTGAGGTGATTTTGAGGCGAGAACAGAGAACCAAAAAACATAACACCAATTTTAACCGGAGCACTTAAAATCCATCTAATATGTGCTTGTGGCCAAAACATGAATATTCAAATAACATTACACAGCATCGCATCACAAAAAGTACGAAAATGCTATTAATGATTTCATATCCGAATCGATTTAGTGCAATTTAATATTTTGCATTGTGTCTCGCCTCGTCTCTCTCTCTCTCTCTCCCTCTCTCTCTCTCTCTCCCTTTCTCTCTCTCTCTCTCTCTCTCTCTCAGCAAATGATATGAATTGGCAAAGTCATCGCTAGCTTATGACGTCTATGATTCAAATAAGAATTTTCAATTGCATCAAGTTGTCAATTACAGCATGAGCTCGATAGTTGCAACCCTTTTCGTGCAAATGAGTGCCGACTTAAGTATAATATCAGGCAACTGAGCCGGAATATTGTGCATTAGATTGCGATAATCTTGATGGTTTTAGATTATAAATACGGTGCTGATGAATCGACTATGGCTAAAACTAGGGGGAAAATCATTTTTTTCATCTTTCATATCCGCACGCATCAAGTAATAACTTAGAAATTCAATGGTATGCATGTAAATCCGAAATATCCATGTATATTCAACAATATTCATCGTGAACGACGAATGAATATTACTGAATATACATAGATATGTCAAATTTACGTGTACACGAATGAAAAATAAAATTAATAGTGAATCAATCCTTCAACCGTAAATTTGATTGATTTTGGTAGATAACGGTGAATATTGGAACATTTTTTGTCATTACAGTCGAATGAATATTATTAAATATACATAGATATTTGAGATTGACGTGCATACCAGTAAATTTGTGCAGATTGTATCGTCAAAAAATGTTCCAATATTCATCGTTATCCACCAAAAACCTTCAAAAGTGGTTCAAATTTTCGGTTGAAGGTTTGATTCACTATTATTTTTATTTTTTCAGAGTTATTTGCGTTCTGCAAAATCGCGTGAAGCCCCTAGGGCTAAAAAGATAGAAAGGGGCGTCAAATCCATCATTCATTCCACAAATGGAATGAATAATAATCTGGCAATATTTCGCATTAACGGCGACAACAACAACAACATCACCAGTCAGACAAAGCGGAAGAGTAAGCTATTATAACAATTTCAATTATTATGTGTATCGTGCGCACGATGGTGTGAAAAATATATCACCAAAAATGAGTGGAAGACGTGTGCAATGAATTCTCAAACTTTGAATCAACAAATTTAATTTGAATAATTGTATTTATTCTACGTTGCTCGCCAAGAGATGTGATATACATAACGGCAAATCTCTCGACGCTCGGCATGGATTCAAGTGCACAAAATATCGATGTTACTAATTGCCGAATAATAGTAATTTACACGATATATACATATGTTGGGCTGGAGGAGAAATCAAAGCACAGAAATCGACGGCTTATCGAAACTAATGTGCATTGTAATGAGATTACATTAAAATGATAAAAGGAATATGAGTGTGCTAATGATAGTTGGTACACATGATACGCACCGATATCCTCCCCAACCAAACCGCTGAACTGAACAAATGAAACGGTTCGTTAGACAGACTCCTTCCGCGGATCAAATTCGCACCTTTGTTATCTGCATTTATCACCGAACTTTTCGGAGCTGAGGATTTAATCGTGCGCTCGGCTGTGAAAGCAACAAGTTTATATCCAGATAGACTTAGTCGTAAATAATAAGCATGATTAATTGGATTGGATGTAGCTTCAAGCTGTGGCACCGACGGCGTTTCTCTCTATATATTTTATTGGCAAGCTTATAATTTTTTCTCAAAAATTCAAATCATTCCCTTTCTGTGGAAAGTGTTTTTGTGGATTTTAATAGATAAACGCCATTGACACGAAGTAATCGAATAGCCAAAACTTTCCAAAAGAGAGAGGAGAAGTAAAAAGTCAGTTCAAATTGAATGAAATTGAATGGAATTTTCTGCGCAAAGAATGATAATGATCGTTCGATGGCTTGGCACCACACACTACGCCGCACAGATTGATTTCAATGAATTTTAAATCTTATTAGTGAAGCCCCACCGATGATGAACTCTCTTTTGTTTGCTCGATTATTATAGACATAAAATCTATTTGAAACCGCGCACAAACGTCGAATCATCCGAAGCAATCATATTACAAAATGGATTTTCTATGGTTTCACTCATTCGCCGCAAACTATTTTCGACCGATACTTTTGTTTGTTCCTCATTCGATTTATTTATGCATTGGAAATGGTGTCCATTCCCGTTTCCAAGTAAACTGAAATGTTTGCTCTTTTTCCATGGTGTTTCTTTTCCCTTCGATGTGTTGTGTTGCGTTTTTTCTTTGTTCAGTTCGGTTTTGCCTTCTTTTCTAATAAATCCAATTAGTGGGACGGCACACACGGTGTGGGAAAGAGAGAGGTGTACGTTATGTCTACGGTCTGCTCCATCAGTTGTTGAAGAACTTTTATGGATTTTAATTGTAGCATTAAAATAAGGCACCTTACCGCCACTTTAATGTTTCATTCTCTCCATTTTTTTTTTGGGCCAACATTCGTCACTCCTTCTTTTCTCGCCCAGTTTCATGCAACGGAATAGATATGATGGCTTTTCAAAGCACACCAAACCGAACAAAAAAAATAATATAGATAATTGGCATAGTTGATTTGATTCAAAGAATTTTTTTTAATATGCTAACGAATCTGAATTGCCCAAGTAAAACGAGAAGAAAAAAAATCTGCGAAAACTTTTCTACGCCAACTTTGAAACGGAGAGTGAATACTCTCGCCTTCAGTTACTTTTTTTTTCTACGAATTTTGCTAACGAAAATCAGTCGATGTCTGACTTTCGACGCCAGCGAGAAAAAACAATTAATAAAGTTTTGATCATATTTGTTTTCTCGGTGTCTTTGTTTTTGTGTTCAACGTTTTTTTGGGGTGTTCGCTTTGGCCTATGATTCCATGAAATACGTTTGACAAGGGCCAAAATTATTTAAAATACAATTGAATGTTACTTACACGTCTGCTTTCTCTGCTTGACTCTATTTATTCCCTCCCGAATGTTTGGCTTGCGATTTAATAGTTGGACTCAGTATCGGCGGTAGCGATAGCGGCAGCGGCAACAATGATGATGGCGACTGCAACGACGACGACAGTAATGGTGGTAATGACAATGATGATGGTCGTGGCGGTGGTGGCGGTGATTGTGAGTTGTTGAGTACAATGAAAAGATTTCACTCTGAAAAAGATGAAATTGTAGCAGCGAAACTTCGTTCCAGCAGTGGAAAATCCGTTGACAATGAATTTCAATTAATTCACACTTTTTTTGCTATCAGTTTTTATCGCACTTAAACACTCCACACTAAACGTTCATAAAAAGAAAGGATCACACCGCTTTTTCTCTCTCTTTCTATATATCTCCCTCGATTCAATCCGGACTCTCTCGTTGTCTTTTTTTTCAATTATTTTTATTATAAATTCTCGCTCTCGCTCTCTGCTATTCGTTTTGTGTGTATGAGTGTTTCGTTTGTCTGTACTTCGTCTCTACTCTGAAGGTGTCTGTCGCTTTTGAGCTGTGATACGCTCGATTCGTATTGTTGTTATTATATGTGTGAACGGATATGCATGAAGGAGTAAAAGACACTTTTTGATCAGTTCTTTGTTTTCCTTTCTTAATGATGCTCCGTTTTTCCTAGCTTTGCTTTTCTGTATGTATGTGTGTATGTCTGTGTGTGTGTGTGTGTGTGTGTGTGTAAGAGAGTGAGTCGGATGGTTTTTTTTTTAAATATATCTCGTGTTATGCTTTTTATTTTGCTCTCCCGTTTTGCTCTTTTTCCGCTATTCCGTCTTTATTTTCGCTAGCTTCAATGCGCGCGTGCTCTATCTATTGGAACGCACGGTATAATTTTCCTCTTTGGCTGTGGATCAATTGACTGACTTATTGAGAAAACTCGCGCTGTATAAAAACAATTTGCACAAACTTTAGAATTTTTAAGCAGATAAGAAAAGGGAATATATATTTAAATCGTTATGTGAATATTCTGTTCGGCAGTCAATGTTTGACTTTTTCGTCGTACGGTTTTGAAGGTGTACACAAGCGCTCGCGCGCGCACGAACGAGCGAGCAAGCGAGTGCAACCAAACCGCCGTTTATTGAAGAGCTATCGATCGAATAAATTATTTCTTCGCGTTTTACGTTTTATTTGTTTCTCTTGTTTTTTTAATTTTATTCTGAAGTTCAACCGTATCTGTGTTTTTGATGTTTTCCTTTTACTTTCGTAGTCTTCGTCGACTTATTTACTCTTTAGTTTATTAAAACTCAAGTAAGAGTTGAGCGTGAAAGAGTGTTGGATAAGAAGAGATTGCGAGAGAAAAAAGAAAGAGGAAGACTCAGGGGGAGAGTGAGAATGAGTGAACAAAAAAGAATGAAAAAGAGACGTGGCAGGTAAACTATTTGACGTATTATTTCGCTTTCTTTCGTTACTCGCTATCCTTTTGGCTTTTAGCTTCCGATATGCATTTCTTTGCTTTTGAGAAAGAATCATTTGGCCGCCGTTGCTATGTCTTCCCTACGTCGTATTCATTCGTTTTACTTTGTTGTACTTCGTATCTTTTTTTTTCTTCTGCTACGTTTATTTTCACGTGCTGATTTGATAATTTTTTTTACTATGTTCGCCGAATGATTTATTTTACTATTTGTAAATTCTGATTTTATTTTGTTACATTTATCCCTTTTTACATCAATAAAGTGTTGACTTTATTTATTGCATTGCTATTTAGTTTTTATTATGGTTTTTTATGCATGGCCATTTTGACGGGTTTTATTATTGAGTTTTGTCTCTGTTCCGCTTTCGTTCTTCTGTTGCTCTCTCTATATCGCTCACTCTTTCGCGCTCGATGTCTCTGTGTGTCGACTTTTGCCGCTCGATGATGAGCAGCCGTACACTATGTGATGGCAGCCAGAGGCTGGCTTCATGGATTTTAAGTGATTTGCTATTTTTACGATTTTTTACTGTTAGTCGGCCTCTCTGTTGTGTGTTTTTAGTATTTATAGCTCATCGTAAATGAAACGATGTTGAACTGTGTGTGTGTGTATAACTGTCGTAGTTATTGCGAATAATTGGTGGTTCATACACATGTACTTATGAGAGTTGGGTGTGCAATGCATCCAATAAATTTCCGAAATTAATGAATATTTTCCTTTTTAATTATTATAAATTTTTCGAAATGATTTATGATGATTATTTGAATGTTGTGATTCAATATTTTGTTTTCATGCGGCTTTTTTTGTTGTTATTATTTGTAAAGTCCTTGCCGAACCCGAAAAAAAACCAACCAGGCGAATAAATGAAAAACGTAGATCAATGAGTAGTAAATTAAATGCGATCGTTACCGTTAGTGTGTGTTGTTGGAAAATATGGCTTGTTGTACGATTTTATGTTGCCGGACGATGGTAACGATTCTTAAATATTGATTATTTTTTATTAATCTCGTTAATGTTGTTGTTGGCAAATAAACAAATGAAGTGTTGGATGTTTTACGGCAGCAGAAAAAAGAAATCAACGGTTTTTATTGAAAAATTGGCAAAAATATGCCGGCGAATTTTTAGGCTACGATTGCCACAGTCAAAAACAGTACGGTAAGTGACAACTTTCTGATTGAATGATACTCGCTCGGGCTTTGGCCGATTTGATTTCCTTGTACCTTTATCTAATGCAACCGTTGTTGGTGTTGTTAATACAATCGAATTGTATTGTTTTTTTTTGGATTCGCTGGGTTCTTTGGACCACAGCAAACAGTTATAATGCTGCTGTTGCTGCTGATGATGATAATGATGATACCAATAAATGATAAATATTTTTTTTTTGTATTCCGTTTGTTTTGTTGTTTTGAAATATTTATTTTCAGGACACGCGGACAAATTTTTTTCAAGGATTTTTATTAATAATGTGTGTATGTGGATAAATGTGTGTGGCGGAACAAGAGAATAAATGCCTGAGAAGCGTTAACACGCCCGTACACTATCAGATTGCACAGAAGACTAAACTCTTTTTGGCAAAACGGCAACGGCTATGCCAAAACACAGTCAGCACACCGTACACACTCATATTATATATCGTTTGTTTTCGTTCGCTGCTCTAGCTCGAAAAGTGGATGATTGTGTGGTGGTGAAGTTGCCTCCGTCGTTGCTCTGTTTTCAACGATACACTTTTTCCAGTGTTCGTACACCGAATGCATGCACTCGGCTCGAGAACTGGATGTGGCATGACCATCGTACATTCATCGCTTTTACTTTTTCCAGATATTTGCTACCCTATTGCACAGATAATGGCAACGGAATCGATATGATGATCAAGTGTCTTCATTAAAATCATATCAAAACTCATTTACATTCCACATATTCGCTTCTAAATCATATTCCCATGTTTGCACCGACCTCAAATGTTTCGTTTCGAAATCCAAATTTTTTGGATCAACAGCAAAAATGAATTCGCCTCAAAATATAAATATGTGGCATGTTTTGCTTTTGCCGAAATTTAGCATCGGCACGAACAGCCGAATGAACGAACGTGCTGTTGCCATGAATCAACAATAGAATTCGGATTCGGAAAATAGACAACAAATATACCCACTTTTACGGTGGTGTTTTCAGCAAATTTAATTTTGTTGTATTTGAAACAAACATTTCGATGATTTCATTTTTCCACTCATCCTCTTTCTCTCTCTCTCTCTCTCTCTCTCTCTCTCTCTCTCTCTCTCTCTCT